CTGAATGAGATGCTGAGAGAGGTTTGATGTGAGATTAATGATGTAACCACGCAGAAGTGCCTGCTAGCTGAAGCCCAACTGGAATTCAACCGGCACAGCAGCTGGCCTTCTCATTAGAAAATGTGATAAGTGGAACATGGGAACTACAGGGAATCCCAATGGAAGTGAACTCCCTCACCTGTCCCACTGAGCTTAGGGAATACCACTTGTGTAAGGATCAGCCTCACACAGAATATATCCTGAGCAGAGGGACCCTAGAACAAAGCTGCGCCTTGGCTAAGTGGCTAAAATGTTCTTCAGGATCTGGACTGGTAAGCCATTGTAGCTGCTGCCAGTATGTGGACTTGAGACATCAAAGGAGTCCTACAAGGCCTGACTTGAATAAGAGAATTTGTAGGCCGGTACCCAGAAAAGTGTACACCCTAGAAAGTCCCCTACATATGGGTTGGAACAATTAAATTGCTTATGACATCCAAATTGGAACTGATTAAAATTAATGTCTAGTTAAGTGGTCAACCCAGCTTCCATGGAGGTCAATACCCATGCAGCTGTATCTGTGGTTGCAGAATCTGTCTTTAACAAGATTTTCTTGGGTCTCCAACCCTTAAGTTTGGGCAAGACCTCAGTCAGACTGAACATACACTGGGGAAGCATTGTAAATTAAGGGAACCACTTCAGTTCCGGTCTCTTATGAGAGGCAGTTGGTGTAGTTACCACTGATAGTAGTAAGAGGCTTGGGCCCAAGCCTACTGGGGTAGAATTGTTGAGAAAGATTCACCTGGTTTAGCTCAACATTTTTCCATTAGAAAATGGCTGCGTCAGTGAAGTCCTAGTGAAATCCCAGGAGCTTTTCAGAAAGGACTTGGGACAATCAAAGGGGACAAAGCCACTTTACATGTCGACCAGGAAGCAAGTCCATGATTTTGCAAGGTCCACCTGGTGCTATTTGCCTTGTGGGTAAAAGTAGAGGTGGAAATCAGGAGGCTGGAGAGTGAAGGAATCATTAAACCACACAGTTTGCAGAATGGGCAGTACCGGTCGTACTGATTGTGAAGACTTATGGCTCAGATCACCTTTATGGGGAATTTAAGCAAATGGAAGACCACTTCTCACAGCTGGATAAATACCCAATCCCTAGTAGAGGGCTTGCATGCAAAGTTGGCAGGGGGTGGGGGGGGTGCTGTCCTTTATGAAGCTGGACATAAGCCACACCTACCTGCAATTGCGACTGGATGAGGAGTCCCAGAAGTACACTATAATTAACACCCATAATGGTTTATACTAATATACAAGACTGCCATTTAGGGTATCGTTAGCTTGTGCCCTTTTCCAGTGGACCATGGAAAATATTTTACAAGGGCTATCCCAGGTTACCATTTATCTGGATGACCTGCTAATAACAGGGAAGACCAATAAAGAGCACTTGGAGAACTTTGATATAGTGCTTAAACATTTTTCAAAGTTGGACGTAAGCCTTAGAAAGGAAAAATGTGTGTTTCAGGTGCACCAAGTGACCTACTTGTGTTAGAGTCAACAAAACCGACTTACACCCACTGGAAGATAGAGTGAGGGTGATCAAAGGGGCCCTAGCTCCTGCATCTGTGCTGGAGCTTAAGTAATTTGGGTTAGTAAATTATTACGTGAGATTCATATGTGACCTGGCTTCCATTTTGGCACCCTTACATCTGCTATTGAAAAATAGTCAGCATTGGAAATGGTCATGTATCCTTTAGGGAAGTGAAAAAGCAGCTATCGTCATTTAAAGTGTTGGCCCACCGTAATCCGAAGTGAGAAGTAGTGCTGACATGTGATGCCTCCCTGTATGGTATTGGGGTAGTGTTGGCTCAATGGTGACCCAATGGATAGGAATGCCCAATAGCATATGCTTCCTGGACTTTGGCTGATGCTGAATGCAAATATGCCCAAATAGAGAAGGAAGGTTTGGCGGTCATCTTTGGTATATGGAAGTTCCACCAGTACCTCTATGGATGGGAATTTGTCATAGTAACAGATCACAAATCTCTGCTAGGGTTACTGAAGGAAGACAGGACAATGCTGTCCATAGCTTCTGGTAGAATTCAGCGCTGGACCCCTATTCTCAGCACATACAAGTACAAGTTAGAACATCATCCAGGAAGCCAAATGGCTAATGCGGATGCCTTGACCTGCTTCCCACTGGCAGATGCTCCACCGATGGTGCATCCCCTGGAACAGTCCATTCTGGCTTTCAACTATGTGGACATCCTTCTGGTCACTGCTGAAAATATCTGACTGTGGACACTTAAAGATCCTGTTCCAGCAAAATTAAACATCTGGTGGTAATGAGGGAGACAGAAGGGTCATCGCAACCAGGACCAAAAACTTTCTGGACCCATCCAGTGAGACCGGATCACCGTAGAGGATGGCATATTACTGTGGGGAACAAGGGTGGTCAGCCCAAGCAAAGGTCACTGCCAGATACTGGCTGAACTCTATCAGGGTCATCCAGGGGTTTCCAAGATGAAGATGGTGACAAGAAGCTATATCTGGTGGCCAGGGTTGGATGCCAACATGGCTAAATTGGTGGGACAGTACCCAGAGTGTCAACAAGGACAAAAATCGCCCCACATTCATGGCAATGGCCGGGTAACACCTGCACTTGGTTACATGTTGACTGTGCAGGTCCTTTTATGGGCTCAATGTTCCTGGCCATTATGGATGTCCATTCAATGTGGTTGGACGTGCATAAAATCCGTTTGGCAAACTCAGGGTTGACAAATTGAGAAGCTGCAAGCTTCTTTTGTGATACATGGACTCCCAAAAGTGGGATGTCATTTACCAGCAGGGAATTTGAATATTTCCTGAAATCGAATGGCATTTGGCACATAAGGACAACTCTATCATCCATTGTTCAATGGTCTGGCAGAAAGAGCAGTGCAAACGTTGAAGACAGGCTAAAAGAAGCAGCGTACAGTCCTGATTCCTGTTCGATTATAGGACCACCCCCCACACTAGAACAGGGAAAGCTCAAGCAGAGTTGCTGATGGGGAGAAGACTTCACACGAGGTTAACCCTGATATTTCCAGACTTGGGGGCGCGGGTAAAATGGCAGCAGGAGCGTCCATGCTGGCCATACGCCTCCTCTAAGCAAGAGAGACAATTTAATTCAAGGGACAAATTTTGGTGCTGGAACCGTGAAAATGGCCCTGTATGGGTACAAGGAAAGGTAGTCACGAGGACAGGTCCGGTGACTTACAAAGTTCAGGTAGGTGAGGCGGTCCTGAATAAACATGTGGATCACCTGAAAACTGTTACCTCACGAACAGGGCAGGAGCAAAACATACCTGGCCCATCGGAACAGCCAGAAGGCCTGTCAGAAACTGCAGGCTCTCCCCCTCCGTCTAGTGTCGAGGAAACTTTGGAGTCTGAGACGGATGCAGCCTCGATACCATTGCTACCGGAAGAAGAGGAGGAAACCCTCCTGAGATGCTCCAGATGCAAGAGACAGGCCACGGTTCAGTACACGCCATCCGTGTCAGTCTGAAACAGAGAAATCAGACCTGGGGTGAAAACATCACAAACAGCTATAAGCAACAGACCAGGCCAACATCACCAACATGTGGGGGGAGGGATGGATGTAGTGATTGGAACCAGGTGGACCTTGTTGACTACAAGGCCTTGATTGAAGTTGTTAACCTGAGCCAATCAGGAAGCCCTGGCTGACCAATATAAACAGGGGATTTAGACTCTTCTCAATCCAGGGGACTGACTCTGAGCTGGCTGGTTACAGCCATTGTATTAGGCACAAGTAAATAAAGGGTGACTTGGTGATGGGATAAGGGCCTCTGTGCAGTTATTTCCTCACCAAATGAGCATTTGACATAGTGCCATTCTCTTTCATCTTCCCCATTCCCGTGTTTCTGTTTAAATAATCATCCCTTTTTGGGGTACTTTACTATAAAAGTCCCTTCACCTCAAGAAATATTGATTGAGCATTTCTCCATATTTCTTATCACTCAGCCTCTTTGTATCCATATTTCTACTAGAACTATAATTCTTCTCATAAGTCTGTTGAGTGGCAAATTATTGAACACATTTTGCAAGTCTGTGTATCCTGCATCAACTGCATTGTTCTCATTCATCCTTTTTGTTACCTGTTCAGAAAATCTCCAGCAAGTTAGTTAAACATGATTTCCTCTTTAAAAATCCTCACTGCTTCTTCTTAATCAATACATAATTCTCCATATAACACTAATTTTATCCCAAATAATTATTTCTAGAAGCTTCTCGCCAGTGACGTAAAACTGGCCAGTCAATAGTTGTTCGGCTTATCCCTACAACCTTCTTTGGGTATGATGTTTGCAACTTTGTGGTTGTCTGGCACCTTCCCTGTATCTGGGGAAGACAAAGA